CGGGAGTCACGGCGGCGGGGCGCATGCCGATGGTGCGATGCTTGCGCGCGTTGTAATCCGATACGAGATCCGGCAGGGCGTCGACCCACTTGTATGCGCCGGTGAGCGTAAACATCTTCCACATATCGTTCTTGAGCGTGCGATTGAACCTCTCGACTATTGATGCCTTCAGCATCGAATACGTGGAATAATGATTGACCAATGTCAATCGCAATCGTTTCCTCAGGAGTTTCTGCACATCGGCGTTGTAAAACTCCTTCCCCATATCCGTTTGCAGGTTTTTCGGACATCTTCCGCTCTCGCGAATTATCGCGGCAAGAGCGGCAGCCATCTCGCTTCCGCTCTTGCTCCTGAGCGGCACGGCCCACGCGTACTTGCTCAACGCATGGATGACGGTGAGTATGTAGTGGTAGCTTCTGTTGTGGCGCGAGTACGGGCGCATCTCGATAATATCGGCCTGCCACAGATCGTCGTATCCTCGAATTACGACGCGTCTTCGCGGAAAGTTTCGTCTGGCCGGAGCGTGCAACTCCTCGACGAGTCGTCGCCTCTCGATGCTGTTCCGGCCATTGACACTCATGTCGCAATATACGTAAAAACACGCAAAACTGACGCAAATCGACTGATTCGTTTTCTGGATGCGCAATTCAATTTATAATAATGCCGGCTTCGCGAAGCCGACATTATTATAAATCGAGTTCCTCGACTATCGACAGTATCTCGTTGTCGTGAGCGTTGTTGCCCGCGCGACGGGAAGCGTCGAGCAATCGGAGTCGATCCACCAGCTCGTTGGGATCGTTCCAGTGAACGTAATCGATCTCGTTGTCCGTCAACGTCATGGCGACAGGCAAGCCCAGTCCCTTTCTACGTTTCAGATGCTCGGATATGAGCGGCTTGATAAACTCCGTGTACTTCGTTCCCCTGTTGCCCCTGATGCGTTCGCCCTCTTTGTAGGCACGGTTGTAGAGGTTCGTTGCCATAATTATACTCTTGTACGTCATATTGTCGGGAAAGGTGATGAATTGTCTATCGGGCTTTTTCGTAAAATAAAGATCAATTCGTACAATCCTCGCGTGCCGCGGTACCTCACATTGTCCACGTTGCCATAATTATACTCTTGTACGTCATATTGTCGGGAAAGGTGATGAATTGTCTATCGGGCTTTTTCGTAAAATAAAGATCAATTCGTACAATCCTCGCGTGCCGCGGTACCTCACATTGTCCACGAGTATAGCATCGTCCTTTTCAAGATCGAATTGTTTGTCTCCGAGCATCAAACGTCCATTGTTGCCGAAATAGATACCGTTCGAGTGATCGATCTCCCTCTTTCTGTCCTGACCGAGGAACAGGTCTATGTACTTTTGCCCAAGCGGCCCCAGTTGACTGTGCAACGCATCGCGACTCCGTCGCGATCGCATGCTCTTTTTGACGGTCGTTTCGAGCGAAGGTAAAAGTGTCGACGCAAAGAACTCTTCCCGCGGTAGTACCGTCGGTTGTTCCGTCGATGCATCCGCCGTCGATGCATTCGCCGGCGGTTCTATCGCTGACACAGAACTGAGCGTAGGTAACGCGACGTTCCATTTTTTTTTGCTTTTTGCGCGGCGTTTGCTTAGGCGTTGATGCGACTCTGAACCATTTGTCGTTATCCTCGGTATCGCTATCCACGCTTTCCTTCTTCCTCTTGATACTCGTCGCAGCGTCGGTCTCGGCTCTCTTGACACTCGTCGCTGCGTTAGCCTTTCTCTTGACACTCGTCGCTGCTTCGGCCTCTCTCTTGATCGATTCCTCGCCAACGGCATGCTCGGCGATCTGTTTCAGAGGTTCGACGATGGGTTTAAAGCGTCTCTCCAACACGATATCCTCGTCTATTCTACCAGTTTTCAGAGCGTGATGTTTCTTGCGAATCGACTCGCTTGTTTTCGCGATCTGCTTTGCTATTCTCTCGCGATCCTTGATGTTAGCGTCTATTGTGTGTTGTCCAGGTGACACATCGACGTTGACTAATCGCGCTACGATACCGCGAACTCGTTAAATCCTTTTCTGTATCGCCCGTTGTTGAGCGGACTGTCCTTATCGATCATCAGGAATCCGTACTTATGCTGCCAACAGGTGTGGCACAAATTGCCGAAATTCTACGACATGTCGGTGTTCACGTGATCGTTGTAAACGTGCTTCAGATTGGTACCGTCCTGTTTGAACAGGATCAGCAGGTTCGCGTTGTTGCGTATCAGATGTTTTGGTATTCTCGCGTACGTCTGACAGAGATAGAAGCAATCGACGCTCAAGTGGCGGCCCATCGAGAAGTATTCTCTCACCGTGTCCTGCTTGTCGCACGCAACGTCGTCGAAAACGAAAATCGAGTTGGGGAGCGCCTCGTTCGGCGGAACGATGTCGCTGCAGTTGGAAACCGTGAAATAGCCAATTTCGTCGATTGATGTCAGCAATCGCTTGAGATACCGATACTTTGGCTGTTGCAGCGATTTCGAGTAAACGTACACGTTCTCAAAACGCGTGCCGTGCGGACTCTCGAGCAGGCTCACGAGCACGTTCGTTTTGCCGCAATTCGATGGACCGCACACGATCGCGCGTATGGTGTTTGGCAGCAGTTCGTCGTGTCGACGCTCCGTCACGCCGCCCCCCGTCGCTCGCGATCTCTCGTCGCAGTTCGTGACGCGTATCGTCAACGGCTGTCGCACGAATCTTATGGTTCTTTGCGTACCTGAACTATACCTGGCCGCCTATTTATAGGCGCGCGAAATCGCGAATCACTCAGTACCAAACATGTATCTTGCGGTAACGCATCCCTCCGACGTTCTCACCTGGAGCGCCGAGCAGTTGCAATATATACCGAAGATCGTACTGTTGCGCGTGTTCGGCGACTATATCGAGCACGTGTGGGACCGGCTGCCGGAGCACATAAAGGCGGATTCGGAGGTGCGAACCTATCGTCGCTGCCTCGATCATCACAATCTGCCGCGACAGCGGACGCACATCGACGGTCCCGCGCCACGGATAAAGGATTGCGAATATCAGCGGGCAGCGGCGGCTTGCTGAATCGCGCGATCAACGCACTTCCGTTCGAGCTACATATCCCCGGCTATCAGTTTTGCGGCCCGGGCATTCGTCTGCTGAAACGATTGGCCAGAGGTGACACGGGTGTAAATCCATTGGACGCGGCGTGCCGCGAACACGATATCGCGTATTCTCGTAGCAGCGATCTCACCGATAGACACGCGGCGGACGAGGTACTCGCCAGGAGAGCCCTGGGACGCGTTGTCGCGAGAGATTCGGCTCTGGGTGAAAGAGCTGCAGCTGCTGCAGTCTGGGCTGCGATGAAAGCCAAGACCAAAATCGGCATGGGTATGAAAGCGAAAACGCGCAAGAGAAAAACGGTGAAGAAACGAGTACTTCCGTCGGCAAAACGAGGCGGCGTGCTATCGATTCTGGGCGCGCTGGGCGCGATCGGCTCCTTAATCGGTGGAGCGGCCAGCGTGGCGAAAAGGGTAAACGCCAGCAAAGCCGTGCGACTTCAGCTCGAGGAGCTGCAGCGCCACAATCGCGCGATGGAAGGACGGGGGCTGCACCTCGCTCCGTACAAATATGGTCGGGGCACAGCAGCGGCGAAAAAAGGAAGGAAAAAAAAACGTCAAAGAAACGCTAACGATACCCAGGGGTGCGACCACCGACGTGCAATTGGACCGGTTGGCGCGGATCGCGCGCGTACTGTACTTCAGAAGCGTTTTCATGCGTAACGCATTACCGAGTGGCGGCGCGCGTCGAAACGAGAGCGGTATCGTGAATCTGGACGACGCGAAGAGAAACGATCACGTCGCGTATTTCGACAGTTTCGGCAATCTTCGACCTCCCAGGGAACTGGTGAATATTTCGGGGACGGTGTTGCCACAATCGAGTACAATCGAACGTCCTATCAAACGTAAGATCAGAACATCTGCGGACAGTTGTGTCTGCAGTTTCTTCTAACGACGCGCTTTTGAAAAAAATAAAACCCTTAAAAAGTTCGACGAGATGTCGCCAGGTCTCAGTCAAACGCTGTTTCCCATCATGTCGATGACATTTACGCTGAGCGGGAGGAGCAGCGTTCTCGCGGCGTACCACTCTCCGCCCATAGATCTGAGCGACGGCGACTACGAGCTCGGCCTAATGATCTTCGAGACTTACAACACGATACCGAACGTAAACGCCTCAAACAATAAGTTTTACTTCGACGACACGGAAATCACGATTCCCGAGGGATCGTACGAACTGCGAGTACGATTGAAGCCTTTTTGAAAAGCGAGATTCTGCAACGGAAAGGTGGAACGTCCGACTGAAGCAACGCCGACCATGACTATCCGATAGTGCTCCGCGCAAACCACAACACGATGAGATGTAAGATCTGGTACGCCTACAGAATAAACTTTAGCAACCCCAACAATATCGGATCGCTGCTGGGATTCTCGCCGCTACGTGTACTGCAACCACGACTGTGGCACGAATCGGACGAGTCGATCAACATAATGAACGTGAACATTATCCGTGTGGAGTGCAACGTGACCGCGGGTGCGTACAGCAACGACAAGAGCGCGCACACGATCCACGAATTTTCACCAAGCGTGCCAGCAGGATATAAATTGTCAGAAAGGCCGTCGCAAATCATTTACCTGCCGGTCATTGTACGGAACGTAACGGATTTGACGATACGCGTGGTCGATCGGAACGGGCGATTGCTCAATTTTCGAGGAGAGGAGATCACCGTCCGATTGCACGTGCGACGACGCTAATCACGAGCGAGCGTGAGATGCTCGTGCTGAACGAGCAGAGAGATAACGCAAGGCCGGTTACGTCAGCACCGCGAGACACCGCTCATTCGTCTGGTCGGAACAAAAAAAGGCTCACCGCGTCGAACGCTAAATTTTTGCAAACTCTGGGATTCGCGGTGCGACGCCATTGATGATGACCGGCATCCTGAACGTCGGAGATGAGCCGATCTTCGATGATCGTATCGTCAAAATCGAGACTCACGCGTACAACCCGTTAGCCAACACAATTTGGGTACAGCGACGAGATAAGAATACCCATACAGCAACAGGATCTGTACACATTGCCGTGCGACAGTTATCTATATATCGAGGGAAAACTAACGAAGAACAGAAGGATTGAAGGAGCTGACGTGGTTTTGACAAATAATTGCGTCGCGTTCATGTTTGACAAAATTCAATACGAACTCGATGGCGTGGAGATCGATCGCTGCAGAAATGTGGACATAACTAGCACGCTCAAACATTACGTCACAACGTCGTCCGACAGAAGCGTGATTCTGAGGAACGCCGGCTGGGACCCGCTCACCAGTAACGAGGGATTCTTCAATTTTTGCGTACCTCTCTATGCGCTGTTGGGATTCTGCGAAGATTACAAACGCGTGGTGCTCAACGCTCGTCACGAGTTGATCCTGATACGATCGCGCAACGACAACAATTGCCTGACGGGAAATGAAGCGATAGAGCCGTCGATCGAATTGTCGAAGATACAATGGCGAATGCCACACGTGTTACTGAACGAAGTAAACAAGCTGTCGATGCTGCGCGCTCTGGAGCACTACCTGAGCATGGCTTTTCGCTCGTGGGACCTGTACGAGTTTCCGCTGTTGCAGCAGACGACCAAGCATTCGTGGGCCATAAAGACCGCTACTCAGCTCGAGAAGCCGCGATACGTCATCTTCGCTCTGCAAACGGATCGAAAGAACGTCATGAGCGAGGACGTGAGCCGATTCGATCACTGCAATTTGACAAACGTGAAACTCTATCTGAACGCGGAATGCTATCCGTACGACGATATGAATCTGGATTTCGTTAGAAAAAAGTGGGCCGTTCTCTACGACACGTACGCGCGTTTTTGCAAGGGGTATTACGGATACGAGTATCTCGAACCGAGTCTCACCACCACGACATTTTTACGCAACGGCCCGTTCGTGATCATCGATTGTTCTCGTCAGAACGAATCGGTCAAGAGCGCGACCGTGGACGTGAGACTGGAATTCGAGACCAAGGAGAACTTGCCGTTGAGCACCACCGCGTATTGCCTCATCATACACGATCGCGTGATTCAGTACAACCCGTTGACCAACGTTGTTCGCAAGATCACCTGAGCGCATCCTCCTTCCCCCACTACCACCAATACAGTATTTTTGTATGATATAAACTAACGAATCATCGAAGAGCGGTTTACTTCTTCTCGGCGACGACGACAGTCATGTCCGTGCCAACGTTCGTGAACCTGCAAGGTTTCCTCGTTGGAAAGAGATTCGTTGTAAAGGAAGCGGCGGTGCTGAGAAGGGGCACGGTTCTCTCGCATTACATTTTCGAGAGCCCCCTACCATGGAAATTTTTGACAAGATCCGACAGGTCTTGCGCTTCCTGGTTGATTGCATATCACCATGGATTGAAATGGGAAGACGGTGCAATCCCGTACAGCAGGGCGAAAAGTCTGATCGCGACGGCTGTATTTGTTGCAGCGAGAGGGGATGAAGAGGAAGATGACGTGTACGTCAAGGGACCCGA